CAAATGTCTCTGGATTTTATTTTCAAATTCTACTAAAATGCTTCCTTCACTCACTCTTTCAATAAACAACGTTGATATAGAAAGAGTTTCGTCTCTTACGCTTCTTGGCATGATTATTTCATATAATTTAACCTGGAAGGCTCACATTGACTATGTTTCAATGAAATCTCGTCAAATGTTAGGCTCTATCTCAAGAGAGTCTTTCGTGGCTCGCCTTCATTTCTTCGTTGTCATCTGTATAAAACTTGTGTGAGAACCGTGTTTGAATACGGTTGTGTTATCTACGATTCCACTTTTACTTCTCATCTTGAAATTTTGGATAAAACTCAGCGCCTTGCTAGTAGGATCATTTCACAAGATTTTAGTAGTTCGTCTTCTTCTCTACTCAAACAATTTAAAATTCAACCGCTTTCGAACAGACGTCTGTATTATCGACTTCTCTATTTCTATAAAATTTTCAATCATAAAAGCCCTCTCTCCTCTTTTAATCTGATTTCACAGTTAACGACGCGTCTCGATTAGACCATGACATTCGCGTGTTAATTCCACGTTTAATATCAAAATCCGCATCTAGCACTTTTCTTCCGCGAAAATCAAAAAATTGGAATGAACTACCTTCTGTTTTAGCCTGTCAAACTTCTTTAGCCACATTTAAAAATATGCTGAGAGGTTACACGGGCTTTTAATAATGCTATTTTGTTTACTTTTTTATATTTTTAAATTTTTAGTTTTAGGTTATCACAGGGTATCCACGGATGCCACAAGTCTTTTATCCTTTTTTGTGATATCCTACTCTTGAGTAAAAATAAATCTTATCTTATCTTATCTAATCTTGAGGTTTGATAAAAGATACTTATTAAAAGAATTCAACAATTGTGAGCGAAGATAAAGCGTAGATAGAAGTTTTTTATCTAGCGTTAGAAATCGTAATAAAAATTAGGAAATAATTAAAATAGTTTTGTAGAATTTTTCTACTGCTAACTCAACCACATTTCAGCAGAAAAAAGATAAAAAGTAATGAATGAGAAGTAAAAGGCAAAAAAGTACCGGAAATACTTTAAAAAGTATTCAAAGTACAAGTACAAGTATTTTTGTGAAAATACAAGTAATATCTTTCGAGTACAAGTATTTCTATTTTTACTTTTATATTTGTACTTATCAATGCTCCGCTTGCAAGTATCCGTACCAAAATTATCTAAAACACTGTAAGTTTCTTGATGTGATTCAAAAATATCATTTAATTTTGGACGAGCAGCTATCAACGATAATTTTCGTTTCATAACATCTGGAAAATCAATCTAAATCAAAAATAATAAAAATAACGCTTAATTCATATATGCAAAAACTTTCTCCTCACATCGACGAAATAAGTTCGAGTTTTTCGTTCATCACTTAATCGAAACCATGTGGAATCAAAACCTGCACCTAAATTCACAATCTATTCCAGCAGAAATATAAAATTATGAAAATATTTAGGATAAAACGAAATCGTGTCTCTTACTTGAACATCTTGTTGATCGTATATGGAATAAAACGTGTTTAATGCATATTCAAGTGCTTTCATACGAATATAATAACCACTGGAAAAAAACGCGTAAACTATTATCAAGTAGAGTAACTTTAGACGAGATTTAGAACACAAACCGATTAATTGATGGTGATCGGCGAACATCTTTTTCAACAAATTCACCGATATACGGGTCATCGAAATAGCCCAATTTAACCATTGATACTTTACTTAATACACTGGAATCGTTTGTTCCTTGGACCTAATACAAAATGAGATTATATGGAGTAGTAAGTTAATGGGAACGTTAAAGCAGATTATATACAGTCTTATTCACGAAGATGATGGCTGTATACTCGAGAAAAAATTTAGTACTGTTACTGAATTGTTTTACATTAATCTCAGAATCGTAAATAGACAAAAGTATGTTTCACACCACTTTTAAATTTGACTGAAGTTAAGATAACATCAATTCTTTCATATATTTTAGTCACAAATATAACTTGAGTTAAATTTAAACAAGATATTCAATATAACTTACACGTAAATCTAATCGAAGTAGAAAAGTTAAGGTAGATCGAGAGTAATCTTAGTTTGTCTTAAGTTAAATATCTGGCTTCATTCTAGCTTAGATTTTTTGTTTATGAAGTATATCTTTAATATTTCATTTCTCTTTTTAACTCAGTTTTGTCCATTTTATAATTAAGAGTATAGAAGAACTCTACCAAAATGATAAAATAAATTTTGTCCTACGTCTGTGTCAATAAAAAGCGCGAAAATATGTAAAACTGTCGTCATTAGTATGTCTTTCTAACTCATTCTTTATTAATCATTCAGCATTTGAACTTAAAACTTACTGCAACATCATTTTTTGCTTTCCGACTTTTTCGTTGATTAATACGAAATGCTTCTTCCATTAAATCTACAAAATAGGTTATGTTTTAAAACAAATTTTTTAAAAATATTTTAAAATATTGAAAATTTGAAACAGTCCGAAAATAGTTTCATTGTTTCAAAACTAACTACTTTATACTTTATTACAAAAAAACCAACAAAAACGCCAACGTTTCAATAACTTACATGAGCAACAAAAAAAAAATGAATTTTTTTACAAAAGACAACAAGAATAACTCATCGCGCTTACATCAATGGTAAATAATTTAGCACAAAACAAGTATTCGAATAAAAAGAAAAACAGATTTTGAATAAATGGTGTGTTATTTGTATGTGTGAGAGAGAGAGAGGAAGTATTTATGACTATAATTCAAATAGCAACACCTCCACCTATGGATTGTTAACGAAAAAAATGAAATAATTACACATTGAATAGATATAAATAATTAGTAAAGAAACACGGAACAATTTTGCATATTGATTAATTAAGAAGTTAGATAACCGAACAGTACGTTAATTTTCTCAAATTAATAAATAATTTAGTTGTCTTTGAGACCTGTACGAATATTATTTCGAAAGTCACTTAATAAATAAACTGATCCGTCATTTATAAATAAATAAATAAAAAATGCTACTAGTTTTTGGCTTCAATTTGGTGATTTGTCTTTTTTTAGCACCATGATGATTTCCTTCTAGTACAAGATTAGTTTTGCAAGAAATTTGAAAAAAAATGTACATAAAGAGTGTGTTGAAGGAGAAAAATGACTTGACAAAAGAAAAACATCCACACTTAAACACACACACAACATAATAAAAGCACAGAAAAAAAATGATGGTTAGAACAGAAACTGTTCGAGTAGTCACGCGTCTTTCTATAGTAGTCCACTAGTCGTCAAATTGTCGATTGTCTTTTGTGTCAAAAGTCAAACATTTCAATAATCTAAATAAGCACGGATGTCTAGTCCAACCATAGCGTCAGTTAACAGAAATATATTAAATGATACTTACCATGGAAAGTCTACACCTTTTGTCGTTTTCTATTTGTTGCCGTATCAACTAAATTATCTACTTCAACTATTTTCATTCGTGTATGTAAGATTTCTTGACCATTTAACTGTTCACATGCTCGATTTGCACTTTTAACATCGGCGTAAGTGGCATACGCCGTTCTTGGGCCATGCATACTAACATCAATTAAATTACCAAAACGATTGAAAACATCACGAAGATAATCATCTGGTATCGAACGTTGTGGAGATATCTGAAGCGTTTTAGCTACCTAATCGTAATAATAATAGAAGAAAAAATTCTTACAGAAGGATTAAGAATAAAGGGAATACATACTGGACAATCAAATGGCGCATATTTTTGTTTTGGTGGTAATGGGATGTTACAATGTTCTAAGTATTCTTCTTGACTACCTTGAAGATTACTCATCTAAACACAAGAACCAAAACATAATAGTTAGATGTTAGAAGTTTGAAAGTCGAATAATAATTAACTATCTATATAATGGCAATGTCGAATTAGTAACACTAGAGCTCTATACTTTATATTTTCTCAAATAAAAATAGCTTAAACCAATTAACTACTCGGCCTGTCCACGTAACGGTCGCCTTTTCGTGATTTCGTCACAATTTTTGTTGCTTTGCGAGCCTCTTGGCGTTCGAACAAAAGGAAACTCAAGGACCGTTTACATCTAGTCTTGTAGAGAAAAGTGAGCTGAACAAAATGTGATATTTTCTGTTTCCGCAGAGTGTCGTGGTTCTCAAATATAACAAAAGTTTTACGAGCCCCGTTTTGGCAGACTTTAGATTGGGGCTCGTAAAAATTTTGTTGTACTTGACGACTACGATATTCTGCGGAAACGAAAAATATCACTTTTCTCTATAAGACTAGATGTAAACAATTCCTTAGTTTCCTTTTGTTCGAACGCCAAGAGACTCGCAAAACAACAAAAATCGTGACGGACTCACGCGTTACGCGGACAGGCCGTACTCGAATTACTAATGAGTTACAAATCGTCAGTTTTTTTACATTCGAAGTAATATTGATTTTCTTTCCTTTAATTATTATGTTTTTACGATATTAGATTTTTCACTATAGTATTATCGAAAAGTAACATTCGACTAAAAGAACCTAGTTTAGATGTTTACCTGGTGGATTAACTGTCCAATTCCACATGTATCATAACTTCCATTTTGAGAACTAACTAAATCGGCGATAATTCTAAAACATAAATTTTTAAAGATTAGTATAATCAATCAATTATTTAAAAGACCTACTTGTCATCATAATATTGTACAGATAATACTTCTCCATCCGGAAACTGAAATGCATGTAATTTTTCTCGTGCATACGTTGCAAACTGGCATGTTTTATAACGAATTATATAAAAGTCTAAGGAAAAAACGAAAAAACAAGAACAATGTACAGCATAGAGATGAGTGAACGTCGCGCATCTCAGTGCTCTTACACTCGTGACGAGGAAAGAAAAATATAGTCCATAGGACAGATTCCGTGGTCATAAAATAATCTAATGATAGAACGTTTAAAGGTAACAAAGGATTTTGTTATAAGAACCAGTTATTATGTGTACTAGTCATTAGAACAAATGAACATGTTTTCGCAGAGCTATAAGATATTTCATTTACGCAGTATGTATTTCAGACAGTTTTAAACAAAGCAAATTCTAAAATATGTTCATTCATATTAATATTTTGTACACATATGTAGCATTATGTTCTCTACAAACTTACACTCTCCGAAATGTTTACTTTGAAAGCTCATGATGACTCCTTAAAGATTCCGGTTTTACAAAAAGATACAAGAAAAGTCTAATAGTCGGAAGAATTATCAAATTCCTACTCTTCATCAAAAATGACCTATAAACAACTGGTTCTCATGGAAAAACTTTTGTTGCCTGAATACGTTCTCTTGTAAGTTTAATCAAAATAGATATTGCAAAAGATAGTTCATTTCATTACAAACAAGAAAAACATTGATCAGAATCTTGCATCTTGGTATATATAGGTGCCTCGATATAAGGCACTGTTTAACGTACAACTATTTTCAGAAGAATAGTTGTCTCTTTATCTCACTACTGTCCTCACAGGTCCCATTCATTTGTGTTGATTCAGACAGTTCGCCAGGAATACTTTGCAATCGTCTATTTTAGTATATTTCTCATTCAGTTTCAAAATAAATGCACGAAACAACGATCAAGATCGACGGTTTTATATATACTTACACTATTTCCAGTGATTGTTTATCACCTGTTATTTTGAACTGAAAGTGTTTTTGAGTTTTCGAAGGAGTCAGTTTCTGAATCAGTGAAATAATTCTGTGAATTACTAACTATTATTGTCATCATACTGTAATGAGTGGTCCGTTACTTTCGAACTTCGGTGTTGCACATGTTTGGTATTCGACACTAACACCTAGCTCCCACAATGAAGAATGAAATTCATCTTGTGTTTCTAACGCCCGTTCCGTGCGTTTTCTTCCGAAACTGAATGAAAGTTTTCAAAAGATCGTTGCTCTATCGGGCAAAAATGTGAAAATGTTTACGTTTACTTCTTAAGAAGTATTAATAAAAAAATATGATAAAATAAATAGACAATCGGTATAATGTCGCATTCTTTGCTTTTCAGCTTTATTTTATTCTACATGAACGATAATACAGCAGCAGAAAATTATCATTAAACTACAGATGTGACGAAAGTCACAATTGCAATCTACACATCGGAATGCCTAAGGGTATTTCTGATGTTCATATTCGGAATCAGCACCCTCGACTACCTATAGTCCATCTAATTTATCCACATAGCGATTTATCATTTGGTATAATCCCCTCATCAGCTTATACAGCACAATGTCCGCAGGGCCGTATCACAAAAAAACTTAAGTCTGGCTTATAGTCTGACTTAAGTCAAAATTTGGACATAAGTCAGATTTAAGTCTTCGTTATGTGCGCTTACGTGCTAATTTTATACACTTAAGTCTGACTTAGGTCTAGACTTAGTTAAGTCGATGACTTAAGTTTTTTCGTGATACGACCAACACGTGACAGAGGAGGGCACATTGTGCATCCAGCCAGATATCTAGCAAACAAATCAGAGTGATGTGTTTTTCGAACTAGGTATAGAGAACTATACAGTGACCTATACATTGTTCGAACTGCTAAGGATCATGGGAAAATACTTAGGCACAAAATAGCTTGACAACCCATTGATGTACGTACGGTTCAATAAGGTTTTCATCAAAGCCAACTATGTCCGAAACAGAAACGACATAGATTATGAATCTCACCTCTTTGTCGACTATATTGACGAGGACGTCGCTAGTTTGGGAATGATAGCACTTCCGTCACGTTAATTTTCATCACATAAAAAAAGAACTTTCGTCGCAACCCAAAAAGAACTACTGGAGTACTCCAATTTGGACTAGAACTGCTTGCATTTGCACTACTTCAATTTGGACTGCTGCAGTGTGGAACACCATAGCTTTCGTTTGGTTTTTTTACGTGGG